ACTTCTTCGCCAGCATCTTCGCCAGGCGAATGGTAGCGAAGCTTCGCTGGAACCTTCGCCAGGCGAATGGTAGCGAAGCTTCGCTGGAACCTTCGCCTGGCGAACTTCCTGCCTTTTTGGTCTGGGAGTTAAATTTGAATTATTCGCTTTGGCTCGCCAGCACTCGCCAAGCGAACATTCGCTGGCACTCGCTGAGCTTCGCCAGGCGAATGCTTTGATTTTCAACTTCTTCTGGCAGCTGTGACTCATCTCCTCCAAGGTGTTCCTATTAGTGTCAATCCTACACACTAACAGCAATATTACAAGCACCATTAAATTGAATCTCAACAACATGAAACTAAACAAATTCAACTACTAATTCAACAATACTAGATAAAAAACAAGTAAAAGTACTACTAAAAGAGGTCAAATATATACAATATATGGGATCTAACAAGGGTACAAAATGGAGTTTTTTTTCTAAGGCTACCTTCTACACTTATTGGATGGCTTCTCTATTTTTCTTGGCTACTATTGGTCGGGAAAACATCTTGGCCATGGGAAATCCTTCCAAAGATAGGGATACGTATAAAGGAAAGTGAAAAACCTTGGAGAAAAATTTCTTTATGATTCAGGAGGAGACATATTATCTTTGAGAAAAAATTCTATGTGGTGAGGATTTCTATGAGGAGACGGATGTCCACGGCTCTCCCTTCATTTTGTCTTCCCAGATTTCTTAGTTAGAGTCTTCCTTAGAATCAGAGACGAAACCATCAGAATACAATTACTGTTGTTACGAAGGATAACTATCATGCTTACGAGGCTCAAAATCCCTAAAACAAGAAAAGGAGACTTGTGCTAAAGATTAGAGGGCTTCTGATAATCAGGTGGCTAAGTTAAAGGAGAGAGTCTAGGAATCTTTAGTAAACTTTGATTAACGTATACGAAGGTTTACTTTTGGTTGTGGACCACACCAAAGGATTTTTTTTCCAGACATCCTAATTCTTAACACGAAACTAGACACTTTGAAGATTGTTCAGGATAGGGATTTGGTGGATAATTGGAGTGTATCATCTTAGAGCAAGGAAGCTTAATTTACTTTTCTTTATTTTCTATAATGTTATATGGGCTCTATTCCTTTTTAAAGATAATAATATTTTTATATTTACCTTTCTACTTGGATCCATTATTTACATTTTTATGCTCGATATACTTTATTTCTTCTTTGTGGTCCTCTAGCCCAACACATAGATTGTTGGTCTCCATATTTTGGATCGACTTGTGAGCTCTTGTTGTGTCAAGACTTTCTCATTATGCATGTACTTTTGAGTTTTTTTTGTCTTGTGTGCGCTACCGACGCTGGGGTGTCTGTCAAATTATGTGGTCCCAACTAGAATTTTGTTGTTACTAGCACCGATCGGGAAAAGTTAGTGTTGTTCATTAGCGTCACTAAGAACCGTCCCTAACCAAAGTTAAGGTTCCTTCCCCTTTCCCCAAGTTTTAACTAATTCGGGGTGGATGTCTTCGGGCTCCACCTTCTACGATCTTGGAGTGGATAGTCACTAAGAGGGGGTTGCGCTAGCTATGCTTGAAGTGTGTTCACCAAGTGCGGAATCCTCCTCAAAAGACCAACTTACACCATCTTGTAGACGGATATAAGACCTTTTGTGTTTGCAATGTTTAATAGTTAGAAAATTAATTATGGATTTTGCACAAAACTTTACGAAATACTTATCTCGTTGATAAAGTCATAATGAAAGTGCATTCGACCTCTTTTTTACTCATTATCTGGCTGATTGTGTAGCCAGGGGTTCTCACATTAGAGGAGTCTATCGGTAGGCCTCACTTTACAGGGTTACGTTTCTTTATTACCACAGACGCGATCCTCCATTTTAGATTCCTGACGTGTGTGCATGTCTCTAAGGTTGCATTCACGTACCTTTGTTTGATGGGCAATATAGGTATGTCAACATATTTGTGGCTATCCTGCTTCTTAAAGACGGTTGACATGGTTATTTTTCCTTTCATTTCTTTACATTGGGTTTGACATTGGTCTCGAACAATCCTCCAAAATTCAGTTAATAGTGTGTTCGAAATGGATTTCAAAGACTATCCTCAGAGATACAGTTGGACTAGCCTCAATCTGACTTACTTAGAAACCAGTGTTGGTTAATGGATTAGATTTCTTGAGATCTTCTCCCATATTTCCATTCATGGTGAGCGTGGGTAAAGTCTGGTTTTTCTTTCTTGTTATACTATATCTAAGTGAATTGGTGGATCTGGGCGTTTAACTTGTTACACCATGCCTAACGAAGGCGTCTCAGATGATGTTCATACCCAAAATTACCAGATATTTGTTATTTCGCGAGAGCAAGCTATCAAATTATCAAAGGTCGATGGATTAATACTGCCATCATAGGTATTTAGATTTGAATGATGGAATTTTAATTTCTCGAACGTGATGGTAGGAAGTTGTCATGGGAAATCCATCATCTATGAGGTATCTCATAGTCATTTTTCTAACGGTGGAGACTGCGAAAACTAGCAGAAACCCCGCACTTTAGGCTATCTATGTCTTCTCGCTTCTCAAACATCTTAGTGCAACTTGATCCTTGTTTCACAGTTTACTATCACTTGTCATTTGGATGAGGCGCTCTGATGACAGATAGCCACTGAATTTTGCGGCATTACGAGTCTCAATGGTAACGATCAAATACGATGAAGTAAAATTAGAGTATCCATGTGGTATTGATATTGTAAAAATATACATCTTATGTAGTTTTCATAGATATTCAATATAGTGCATTGATTTGTATATTTTATTAAATTATTTGATTCGATCTTTTGAGTTGTGTCTACCGTTTAAGTCGTTTTCTGCAAATTACAGTTGATAAGAATAACCTCTTTGTATGCCAAAATTTGCTTTCGTCGTACAAATCATTTTTTCAAACTGTGATAAAAGGTTTGTCAAAACAAATTTTCAACTACAGTTTTAATTGGGAAGTATATTCGCTCTCCCCCCCCCCCCCCCCCCCTCTCTAGACTGTTGTATACTCCATATTCTCTCCCAACAAAAACACTTTTCAAAACTTCTAATAGACTTGGTAGTTCTGAGAGCCAATATATATAATTCCATTTGCGACGTGGTAGACACGTGGGAAAGTATCCACGTGAATACCTCGTCGAAACACACAACAAAGTTGAATATTTGCGACGTGAAATTAACATGGGAAAGTTGTCACGTGAGATGCACATCGGAACTTTCCCAGCATTTAATTTTGTAACGTTCTAATATTAATTGACAAGCAGTACAAAAAAAATTAATACATTAATATCCCATTTGCGATGTGGGAGTCACGTGGGAATGCTGGAAAAGTAAAATTCACCATTAATGTGTCTCAACCGTAAAAGTAAAAGCTGACCAACTTTAATATTTTCAAAACTTGCGATGTGGTTATCATGTAAGTAGTTTGTGACTTGTTTTCCACGTCACAAATATAAAGATATTTTTGAATTTTTGATTCCTACGTAGTTACCACGCCACAACTAAATTTCTGAAAAATTCAAATTTCCTCCCCTAAAAAACAACACGATTTAAATTTGGAAGGGATATTAATTAAATATTATAGTGACGTGGTTTACACATTGCAACCTCTGTTTTTTCTCACGTGTTTACCATATCACTCAATCACTAGACAAAATATAAGTTTTCTTGTAATAAATTTATAGGACGTTATTCGAAATGTTTTACGTTAAGTGTCTAATTGATACATCTAAAAATACATCTTAAAAACGGAAGACATTTTTAATGTGGTATTTAAGAAATTTATGAGATAAATTTGAAAAAAAGAATGAGCACTAATTTCTAATGAGTCCATTTTAAATGCTTATGATTAAGACCGCAGCCAAAAAGCTCAGCTAATCTGGGTCATAAGATCCAAAGATGAAATGAGAGACCTTTACTAAAAGCACTCACTTTCCGGCTATTACGTTTTCTTAGTGCTTAAACATCCTACGTGGCATGTACATAGTTTCATGTAATAGGACACCACTATATTATAACTGATATACATTCACAATCCAAACCCTAATGAATACACTATTTTCACATACATGTATATGACAAAGTATAAACCATCTAAAACTTGAAGACTTAAAGAAGAAGCAATGAAAAAAGTGAGTGCTCTCTTGCCCTTACCTTTTAAGATTTTTCTCAAACATTGTCGCATATCAAAAGCATGTATATTTAAAAACCTTGAAAACATCAAATGTGACTCAACTTTAGCTTGCACACACCAACTTTAATTGTAATTAACTATAAAAAAATAAAAATATTGACCCCACTTTACTATTACTCAATTTTTTAATACTTCTTTACTAATATAATCTAATTTAATTGGCTTTTAACTTAGCCTTACAATTAAATTTGGTTTGTGAATATAAATAGTAGATGTTTAAATAGTAAAAATTTGTTTGTAGATTGTCCCCGAATCTTGAATGAATTTTTTATTCTCTTTAAAATTTTAATTTTGTCTAACTTAACTCTTAAAATTCGATTTATAAAATGAGAATTATTTTTATTTATAAATATATTTTTGAATCAAATCTCATTTAATATAAAACTCTTAAGACATTAGTGAATAATATATAAGCTCATTTGTTAACACACTTAAAAATACTAATTTTTTAGATTGACCAAAATAGTCATATTGTTTAGAAATTAAAATTACAGATAAATTATATTTAACATGTATACACCTTTGTTTAACGAAACAGACGTTGTGGGACAATTATTAAATCAGACAATATCTCCTTGACGCAGTGACATATATTTGAGATCTAACAAAATATTGATTTTAATATCAAATTTACCTAAATAAATTATACTTTATAATTTTTTATTAAAAAAAAGAAAGCTTCTTTTCTCTCCACTATTTAGAATAAATAAACATTTCATCTCTTATCTCTTGTCTTCATAACTTTGTGTCATTGAAGTGCCTTTTCTTTCCATGAATTCAAAAATGACACCCAACAACATATCCTCACCTTCACCCTCACCCTCAAACCAATCAAACATTCAAATCTCTCCTGAACAAACAGGCCTCCCAAAACCACCAAAAAACTATCATCCCTTTAGAACAAGATCATCAAGAAAGCTAGCAATCCTCAAAGTTGGTGAACATCAAAAAACCAAACCAATAGTATGGTTTGCCGCAATCCTATGTTTCATATTCAGCCTCACCTTAATCTTCTTTGGCATAGCAACATTAATTTGTTACCTAGCCCTAAAACCAAGCAACCCTTCATTTGATATTCCAAATGCAAGCTTAAACTTAGTATATTTTGACTCAAAACCCTATCTCAATGGTGAGTTCACACTCCTCACAAATTTTTCAAACCCTAATAGAAGAGTTCATGTGAAGTTTGAGTCTTTACATATTGAACTTTTCTTCACAAATAGACTCATATCATCACAAACGATTACCCCTTTTACTCAAAAACCTAGAGAAACTAGGTTGCAAGCAGTGAAGTTTATGTCAAGTTTGCTTTTTGTGGCACAAGAGGTGGGTGTGAAACTTCAAAATGAGGTGCAAAGTAGTAATAGGTTGAATTATTATGCAAAGGGAACGTTTAAGGTGAAGGTTAAAATGGGAATTATACATTTGTCTTTCTGGCTTCATAGTGTTTGTCAGATGGAGATGACTGGTCCACCTGCTGGTTCTCTTGTTGCTAGACAATGTGTAACAACAAGATGAACATGGAGGTTTTTCTTTTCAATGTTGGTTTTTTTTTTTTTAATTTAGCTTTTATAATATTTTGATATATAGTAAATTAATTATAGTGTGAAAAAGAGTGATATGATTCATATCAAACTGAAATATATATATATATATATATATATATATATATATATATATATATATATATATATATATATATATATATATATATATATATATATATATATATATATATATATATATATATATATTAAAAATACTATTTTATATTTTCTATTTTTTTTCAATTGTTGATAGAAATTTAATGGTATAGGAAGTATAAAATCTTCAATTTTAAGAATGTGAAGAAAAAAATATTTCTATTTCAATTCAGTTAAAATAATATTTTTTTTTAAAATTGGATATATGATGATACCATACCGTTTGTTAGTATTTAGTAAAATTTAAATAAAATTTTAATATATATTTATATAAAATAAAATTACACAATTCAAATGAAAAAATTGACTTAATCATTTAAAAGCTTATTAGAACAAAAAAGCAGTAACTTAATGAATAAGAATTTGACTTAATTGTTGTGTACCGACTCACCTTTAACGGCAGTACTTTTAGTTAGCATTTTGTAACTTTTTTTTTTCTTTTATCAGTTGCACTGATTAGAAAACTTTTTGACTGCTTAAAATAGTTAAAGCCAAGGGGACAAATAATTGATTATTGACGTGGTATCAACTAAGATTTCAAAAGTAACATAAATCATTGTGGCTAGCCAAACATCCCAAAATCATGTTTTAATCCAGAATGATCAAAATTGCGTTTTAAAATTGCTCATAATTTTGATTATTTTCTTACAAAAATCTCTATTATTTTACATATGAGAAAATTAACTTTTGTTTCGCTTTTATGAAGATTGGTAAAAAAAATAGTGCAAAGAATAATATACGAGGTCAACAACTACATCAACAATTTTAGAAAACAATAGTGCTATTTTAACACAGCACTAAATGTGACAATAGTATTTATAAATTATTTTGAGAGTTAGACTTATACATAGAGTTACAAATTATCCACTAGAGGTATTTTATTAATAGTAGGAGTTGAATTCAAGACTTCTCAAGAGAGTCAATTGAATCAATTTTTATTGACAGAGATTATAAATTGATGGATACTAATCAAATTAGTTATATTGAATCCTTGTATTCGGTCGTTTTTATTGAAATATTTGGTCAATTTGAAATTGTTGACTCTTATGTTTTTTTTTTTGAATCCGGAGCTAGAATTGTTATTGAAGTGTTTTGTTAAGGTTGGCTTCAAAAAAGTTCCGTTCAACCGCTTCATGATTGTTGTGCAAATTCTTTAGGTTTTAGAAGGGATTGTGATGAAATGAGTGGAAATGGTGGTCATGGAAACACGTGCATTAAATGATTGTTTTGTTACTAAAATATTTAGTTGTGGAGGTCATCCACGTGAACCTAGGCCTTTAGGATAAGGAGGTCATACTCTTAAAGTGTTTGAGTGTCCTTACTGTTCGAGGTCGAATTTGAGGTCGAATTTGAACAATTGGTCGTGCTTTTGTTGTTTCATTGATTTTTTATTATGTATATTGAGGGAATGAGGTCAGTTTCCTTTTTTCATTTAATTTGTTTTAGAGCATTAGTCTCTTTATATTCCTCATTGTTTTTGAATTAATTTAGTAATCTTTTCTGTTCAGCCTTTTTTTCCTAAGTTCTTCCTAAGGTTTTAGAGATTTTGTTTCTTTATTCCTCAACACTTGTAGGTACCCTAAGGTAACAATCTTCCCATTTATATTTTTGGTTCTTTCTCACTTTTTGGGTATGGGTGTTATAATAAACTCGGGTGTTTTAGTCATGAACCTAGTGAATGATTATAAACTAAGTAGTGTGTCTTCTTAGACTAAGGAAAAGACGATAAACCTGGTAGGTTTTAAAATGTCGTCCGACAAGGTTAAATATCTGATCATGAATGTTATATAACATAAGAGGCATGTTGGTGCCATGAATCCAGAGATAAAAATTCTTAACGCGAAAAACTCTTCAAAGGTTAGGAACCTAGGTGTTGGTGCTCGCGTGGAGGGGGAGGCATCCATTTGGGCCTTGGCATCGGGGTTGTTGCTAGTGAGTTTGCTTTCCCAACTTAGCATTTCCTCGACCTAGAATATGTAGATGATTTTAGGAAAAAACAAAAAGACCAAACCTATATAAAAGCACATATACATGATTTTGATTGCGACCCTGCCAATAATGAGGTCATGTGGTGAATATAATCACATTTGCATGCCCCTACTAATGGTCGTTACTTTTTATATTTTGACAGTGGAGCGGCAATGATGCGAAAGGATTGGAAAATGGTGAGACTCATGAAATTGTAGAACAACTTCTTTGGGGGGATCAAGAGATGTTGGAGATGGCCTCCGTATTTGCCAACAAAGAGGTTCTAGACCACGCCTTTACTAATGTATGTTTTTCTTTGGTTTAGGGGCTACTACCCCCTAAAAGTGACAAAATATTATGCAGTTGATACGTCGAAAATGTCCTTTCCTTAGATGAATGTCTCTTTTCACGAATGGGGTTCACAATTTCTTTTAACGTCTTTGAGGTAGGGGTTATTAATCACCTAGGAATGTCCAAGTCATAGTTGCACCCTATGAGATAGGCGTACGTTAAATTTTTTTAGTATGTATTTGGATACAATAATGACATTTCTACTTTGACGCTTTTCTTTCACCTCTTCAATATTCAACAAACTTTGACCAAGTCACACCAGGGCTAAGTTTCTCTCATTCAGGCAAGTAAAAAAGAGATTTGAATTATCATAGGTAATCTCAAAAGTTTCAAAGACGTGTATTACTTAATCACCCCCCCTCCCCCTTCCCTCATAGTTGTACTGCTCATAAAAGTATCTATGAGATCTAGATCAGACCCCCACCAATTGCCAGACCTTTACCACTCCTTGATATTCCATTTCATATAACATCTAGGAAATTATTATCATATGTCTCCTAACAAGACTGTGTTTATTTTAACGACAAGGCGGAGGTGGATCGTCGAGAAGAGGTGGCAAAAACGTCTAACTAGATGTGTAGGGCTTCCGCCTTTTTGATTTTTGGATAGAAATAAGTTTGCCAATAACATCTTGATGTCACTCTTCTTGAAAGAAATAATCTTTTTCATGAACTCAGAGATTCAAGGAAGCTTATGTAAGAAGTAGGTGATGAAGTGTAGAAGTACAAATTTCCTTGTACTCAAGATAAGAAGGAAAAGGAATAGGCTTTGGTGATAAAAGAAAATGATTTGACCTTGAATATTGTACAAAATAAATCATTTGATACGGAGGCCTCTCTAGACAATGTCAATTAGGCTCTTGATTCTTTTCACAAGACTATGAAAAAGTATGAGGAAGTTTTACGCGATATCCGAAAGGATTTGAAAGTAATTTGGGAGAAGTTACCGGAGGAATAATCTTAAAATATATATGAAGGCCATTGAGACCAATTATTCCACTCTGTAGGCTTCGTTTGAAAATGCTTTGAAGTATGTGAAATATTTTCACTCTGAGGTAAAGATTTTGAGGGAGAAAATCATTTGAACTGGAGATTGTGGACGAAAAAGTTCTCATTATTGGGGGGAACCCTAACTCGTAAACTTTTTGATATTTTGACTTCTTTTTATTGTTAAGTGGATTTCTTGAAATGTTTTCGCTTTGCATGGGTAGTATTGTATTTTTTTTTCATTTGTAAGTGTATTGGTAATGAGCCATATGATAAAGGATGTTGTAGACACTTTTACACGAGACCACTATAAATTACAAGTATATTGTTCGAACATTTCTTCCTTCTTATAAGGTAACCATGAGCTCTATAAAATCCCAAGGGGAAATTATTTTTCCATCAAAGGCTTGAAGATCAGAGTCCGTGTAGGGTGATACTTTTTTCTTCTTCAAGCCTAGCTTCTTCAAAAGTTAATCATACATAATGTTTCATGAGCTCCCTCTATTAATGAGGATCCTTGAGACGTCGAAATCAACCATGGTTGTTGTAATCACTAATAGGAATATTTTGTTAATAATGATGCCTACCTTTTCCCCGTCTCTAAACCCTTAAATGGGTCTCTCTAGTTTCTCCAAAACAGTCAAATGTCTCTCCCATTTTATCTAGCGTCATTAGTTTTGAGATTTATCTTTTCATAGTCCCCTTTAATTGTGTCTTTGGACATAGTAACCCTCTAGTAATGTATGTGATTAAGTTGTAACCTCCTAGCGACGGATGTTATAAATGGGGTTTCCCCTCCTAACTTTTTCTTATTATTATTCATTGTTTTCCTTTCTTTCATTGGCACTCTCTATGTTCGTTTTCTTAGGTGATGTCGCGCCTCAGCGAGGAGACTGTTTATTTCGCAACTAATTGTTTTTCCTACAAGATATTCTAGGAAACCTTTGTGTATTTAAATTGTCTTTCTTCTCTCCTTCTTCGCATTATATGCTCAAATCCCATTATTAATATAAAGTCTTCTATGGCATCTTTTAGATGGATGCATTCATCAGTTTTGTATCCATGACTCTTGTGGAAGAGGCAAAACTTTGATATGTATGTTTGTGCAGATTCTTTAATGGGGTGGGGTTACTTACCCCGACCTCTTTGAATTTGGTATTGGCACATTCCTGAAAGATATTTTCTCTTGAAGTGTTAAGTAGTGTGTACGACGAGACCCTAGCATGTGGTTCTTGTGTGTGTCTCTGTATTCTCGATGTCTATTTTTGTCTTATCTGTCACTTGTCGTGTTCCATCATTCTTTGTTCCATTCTACAACTTCGGCCAATAGCTTCTCTTCATAACCAATATAGGATTAGGATCGAGTGAGGATGTCACTCATACTCCTAGCACCCTTTAACCCTGACTTTTCTCAGGACATCAAGTCTGTTTTTAATCCTTTTTCGAAGATTCAACATTTCAGTTCTTCGTTAAAACCCCTTACTTCTCTACTTTAGTGATTCGCTCAATA